TACAGATTAAGGGGCGGTAATATTATAATGAGATCCCTTTGCCACGTCACCAAGGGAGCGAAATCAGACGCGCTGGTTTTCTCAGACGCTTGCAGAAAAAGGCTTCCCAAAACAAAGTGACTGGGTTAATCTTTTTCACGTTTCCTTGGTTGGTAGATGCACCGGGGACCAGATTATAGCACTTACAACCTGGAAAAGTCAGATTTTCATGATATGTCACCTTTAAAACAAGTAGTGATTTATTATGCTTTTTTTACTTTATGAAAACCCTTTAGTTACACTATAAAAGTTGCAAATAAAAGATTACTGTAGTATGTTTTACAAGAACATGCCATGTCAGTTTAAAAAATTTTCCTGTTTAATTCGATGTGTTATTTGCTGATTCTTTGTAACTGAAGATTCAGATTAAACTGCTTGATGCATATGGATTTCTTTAACGATCTCTGCATTTTGATGCATTAAAATTTTGCATGAATGGACTTTCAATGGATGAAACGGGTTTCGTTAAAAATAACTATATTAGTTTTTTTTTGAAGATGAAACATTAAAATGAGTAAATGATGACGGCATTTTCATCTTTAATCCTCTGGTGGTCTTTTATGGAAACTTGTTTCTGCCATAAGATAAAGCAAAAAAGGTGATTGTGACTCATACATTTTCTCATAAATCTCTTCAATCTAATTCTGACTTTTCCCCCCTTAGAAATTAAAGATTTAAACTCAGGGTTGAGAGATATAAATGTGCAAAAGTACAAATTGTGAGAGAAAAAGTCAGAATTGTGAAACTGCCTTTTTTACATTTTTATTCCATGGTGGAAACAATCTTCTATTTTAGACCAAAAAACATTTTAGGTTAATATGAAAAATATGAAAAAACAGCACAAATTTTACAGCGAATATTAGGTTTGTTTTTCAGTCTGTTTTGACCGCCAAATATCACAAGTGTGATCCTAATCCTAATCAGTGTTTAGGCTATTTTTCCTCTTCTTGTGCAGCTGTGGTTGTGTGTACCTTCACCCACAGCCACTCTGCCAGCACTTCAACCCCCCAGTACGGGTAGAGCTCTTCTCTGATGAAACGCAGGTGCTTCGCCCGGTTAGTTACCCACGTAACCACCAAGCATTCTGGAGCAGCCAGTGCTGGAACTGGAAGCTGCTTGAGCTGAGACGACGGTAGAGAGCTGTATCTGTCAATCACAGCAGGATATCACTTCAGTCCACAGCAATGCATTATTACAGGCTTATTACAGGTCATATAACAGGTAGGAAATACACTTATACCTGTTGCTTCTTTTGACAGATTTGTTCTCCCATGGTGGATCAAGGACTATAAGGTCAAATCTGTCTCCACCTGCAGTCAAAATACAGCAATATGCAACACTAACAGATCAACATACTGAGGTGTAGAAGGACATTCAAGACATATTGCCAAATAATCAGACCCATGGGAAGCAAACAACATCCAAAATAAAAATAAAAGTGATAATAATAGATAATAAATAATAAAAAGAGGGACAAATTTGTATGTGATCCCATTGGAATCTGTTCCAAATTGACATGAAATTCCAATAAGAATCCTGTTCAGATTCCTTTACGTTTTGTTGACTCAGGTTAATGTAAGAAATGTTTAAAGTCTCAAAAACATCACTGAAATTTGATCTGTTTTAGCAAAGATATATTATTACTGTATATATTTAATAAAATGAACCTGTAGGGTCACAAAATTATGCAAAATTGGCAGCATTTAAAGTAGCATAACAAAACTACAAAAAACTAACAAAAAAAAAACTGGTAAGTTTACAATAAGGTCCTGTTAGTTAATGCATTACCTAACATTAATTAACAATGAACAATACATTTGTTACTGTATAATATTTGTTATTTTTAGTTAATAAAAATACAACTGTTACATTAAAATTAAACATATAATTTAAAATTAAAATATAAAGTTTAAAACAGAAAATTAAAAAAGCTAAAATATGAATAAATATTACAATAGTATATTAATAATACTAAAATTGCACTAGTCATGAAAACTTCGAGCCATTTAGCTGCTCTGCATGAAAAACAAAATACTCTATGGTGCTAGAATAGTAAATTAAAATTCTGTGATTGAACTCACTGTTGGTAAGTGGATGCATACGTGTGATGTCAGACAATAGGAACCGGCTGCGGGGCGGCAAAAGATACTTCTCCTTCATCAACGTGACCTCATAAGCGCAGTCGAATGGGTTTTCAGTGATGTATGAGAACAGATCCAGCGATGGGTCCAGACCATCTCTGTTCAACGTCTGCACTGGTGCCTCCACAGAATCGTCCGTTAACGGGAGCTGCTTGGCCATGTCACATAACGCAGCTAGCCGGCACTCAAGTGATGACATGGATTCAGAAGGTGGTGCGGTCAAAACTTCTGTCAAGTATCCACACTGACGTCCAGCTTCCAAAAGAGCCCGAGAGCCCTCCAGAACCACCAACCTGATCTGAGAAAAGATCAAAACAAGCCATAGAGGGAAAAAAAGAAGGGAAATTTGTATGCTAAAATGACAAGTAAAACAAAAGGAATGAAGGAATTATTCAATAATCATTTCTATCATAATTTGGAATCACTCCATTTTCAGTATGCACCGAGTACTGTACATGAAAGATCTACTAACAAACGTTCAGTGTTGTCAGTATTTAGTTTCAAAAAGTTAGCAGCATTCATGGTTTCAGATCATGAATGCAGTTGTTCTTTAATGATTTTGAGGTAGAAGGAAATTTATGCCATGCTGCCGAATAATCAGACCCATGGGAAGCATATAAAATAAAAAAAAAGAGAAGTGGACCAAGAACAGAGCCTTGTGGAACACCTCAAACGGAAACAGTTTATGATGTCTGTTTTTTAATACAAACAAACTGCTGCCTATCCCTAAGACAGAATTTGCCAAATTAAAAAGAGAAGTGGACCGAGAACCGAGCCTTGCGGAACACCTCAAACGAAAACAGTTTATGATGTCTGTTTTTTAATACAAACAAACTGCTGCCTATCCCTAAGACAGAATTTGCCAAATTAAAAAGAGAAGTGGACCGAGAACCGAGCCTTGCGGAACACCTCAAACGAAAACAGTTTATGATGTCTGTTTTTTAATACAAACAAACTGCTGCCTATCACTAAGACAGAATTTGCCAAATTAAAAAGAGAAGTGGACCGAGCCTTGCGGAACACCTCAAACGGAAACAGTTTATGATGTCTGTTTTTTAATACAAACAAACTGCTGCCTATCACTAAGACAGAATTTGCCAAAAAATGCAGTACAACAGAATACAATGTGTGGAATACCATATCCCACCGAGCAATACACTTAACTTAACCTTCCAGTGAACTCCACTTTCATTTTCCAGTGTGACAAATTTTGATTTACTTTTTTTCTTGAATCATTATTTTATCTGATTTTTCTGACCATTTTTAATGTATACAATGCAAAATGACCACTGTTTGCCACACAGAATTAAACATGAAGGGTTGATTGAAGTCATGTGACAATTTAGTCATACTGTTGTACTATAATGTTCGCCATATATATATTTTTTTATCTACAATGCACAATTCCTAATGTAGGAAAATTATAATAATAAAATAAATATTATTTGATCCCATTACGATTAGTTTCAAAGGATTATGATGAAATTATACACATTGCTTTAAGTTTTGTTGATGTAAGAAATGAATAAAGCATAAAACCAGCCAATTTTGTCACCTTTCCATGATAAATATGGGCATCTAATTCTCCTGTATTAAGATCACGCTGCTTTCTCTTTCGTTTCTGCAAATAAATAAAAAAAAAAACAGTAAAGAATCATACAGCAACCTCCAGAGACTTTTTGTAAATAATCGAGCATAGTATATCAACTAAAATGACAATAAATGTGACATAAATACGTGTTTTGTTCTGCTTTTTCTGTTGCCTACCTTTCGTGTTTGCAGATCAATCTTTGCATGTTCACCATTGCTATGTTTTGCAGTGCTAGTGAAGATATCAGTGTTTTGTTGAATCTGAACGTGGGGTTTCACCGTATTAAAATACTCCCTCTTGAAACAGCATCTGAAGTATTTAGGCTTTTCAAGCCCATCACTGTAAGAATCACAGCGCTGCAAACCTTCATCGATGTGAGAGCAGGAGTCCAGCAGCCAGCCGCAGGTGTTCGCACACACTACAGACATTTACAAAACAATCACATAAAGCTCATGGAAATTATTCATCTCATGTGTGCTGCTGCTTCTTCTTGAAACGTTTGATTGTTAGGTTGCAAGCCAGCTTTCGGTGCATTAGCGCCACGGACTGGACTAGTGTGGAGCATCAGCGTGAGATTTAATGTGTGTCATTCATTACATTACTTATCAATCATAATTATTATTAAACAATTATTATTTTATATGATTATATATAATAAAATCGTTGTATAATTTTATATATTATACATTCATATATTATACATATATTTATAATAATTGTATATTTATTTATGTATAATACAATAACAATAAAAATGGAAATTATATAGAGTGTATTATTATTATTATTACTATTAGTAATTATAAAATAATATTAAAATCTATTAAATGTTAGTAATAATACTAATAATACTATTACTACTAATAACAATGTATTTTATATAGTTATATATAATACAATATTTTTACAATGTGTGTATATAATTGTGTATTAATTTATGTATTATAAAATAAAATTATATATGTACTTATTATTATTATTGTTTTATTTATTTATTTGTTCTCGCTTCACACTCCATCCAGTAGGGGGCGGAGTTTGTCCTGTAGGATTGTTTGCCAACCGCCGTGAAACAACAGAGAAGAACTAATGTTGCTGCAGAAAGACGGAACTCGGGTTGATGTTCCTGGCGCGAAGTCTTTAAGTTTACAGACTTCATAAAATCAACACGTTACTCTTGAATATTAGTCTGAATATCAGACGGGTGGACATCAGACAACAAATCTAAACTTGAAGATAAACATGTCAGAGACGAAGTGGTGAGTTTTTATCATTAGTATGTGTCAGAGGTCGCTGGTTTGGCAGTAACGTGCGACGAATCGAAAATGACGGAGGCCGGAGCGGAGCGAGACCGGCGGAAAAAGGCGCCGAGGTCGGTGTGTGTGTACGACTGCCGCTCGGAGAGCCGCGTCGCGCCGCCGCCGACGCTCATAGACACCGCGGAGCTGGACTACAGCGGCTTCCTGCGGGCTCTGAGACAGGTAACACCGCGTTTACCAGGGTAATTCAGCTCGAGTCCTGCATTAAACCCTTAACTGTCACCCCCCATTTTTTAAAATAGGCATGGAAGTGCACTATCCAAACTTAAATTGTTGTAATTTATTAACAATTAATGAATAGAATATAGATAGGCTATTGTTATTATTGTTGTTATTATTAATAATGATAGTAGTGATAATAATAGTAGTAGTATTAATATTAATAATAATAATAATATTGTTGTTATTTCTCCTCTCTGGACTGTGATGGACTTGGGCTGTAGATGGAGGAGCTGAACACACAGTAACAAATTTACTGTAAAGACTGTAAATAAAATGCACTATATTTTATTTTATTTATTATAAATATTTTACATAACAGGTTTTACTCTAAAATTGGTATAAAATCAAAGCCTTATGTCTAAATAAGTTATGTTCCAAATTTGAAGTTGGTATGAAAAAAATTGAGGTTCCTGTGAGATGTTATTTAGGGCGTCATACCACAAACAGCCACCGGGTGCCATCCAAACTCCATTAAATTTTATTTAATGCATTTTTCTGTCACAAATGTCTAGATTGTTCTGTCAATATTACTTCTATCTCAAAATAACCACTAGATATGGAATCCTGAGACTCAGACCTTTCCAGAGATATGTTTTTTGTCAAGATTATAAAAAGTTTTGATTGTAAAAGAGCGTAACGCATTTTGTAATACGACACTTGACACCGCCCACTAAGGGGGAGGAGACTGACAAAAGATTTTAAAGTACCGTTTCTATGGTAACGCAATGTCCGATTTCAAAATGGTTTTCAGAGGATGAATCTTGGGCTTGTAAGCTTTCAAATGATATATACTTTATGATGATTACTAAAAGATTTGATAGAGAAAAAGGACAACAAAAAAAAGAGCGCCAAGCGTCCCACAGGTGGGACGGTGACAGTTAAGGGGTTAAACCGTGTTTAAATCCAGCAGTGTCATGGTTTTATTTCGATTTCAGGAGTTTTCCCTGTCGGCAAATGAGACTTTTGTTATTAGCACGACGGACCGAAGAGAGATCGACTCAGAACTTTACAGTAAGAGCTCGAAAAGTGTTTACTTATTAAATATTATAGTTATTTACTTGCCTGTTTTCATTTTGGCGTTTTTATTTTTTGCCCTTTTGTTAGTTTTTAAATAAGTTTTATTGTGGTGTGTTCTGTATTTTGTTTACAGATGAAAATGTACAAATAGTAACTTTCAATGTATTCACTTTTTTGCAGTAAGAGCTCTAAACGTTTATTAAATTAAATATTATATTAATTTACTTAACTTTTATTTAAAAAAAATGTTTTTATATATTTTTTTTATTTCAAAACTAAAAAAGTAATACTATATTAGATTTTCTTTTAATTTACATGTTCATTTTGTTATATTAAGTTTTTAAATAAAACATAAATCTAAATTTTATTTCAGAAGTGAAACTTAAATTGTATTTAAAAAGTAAATAAGTGAAATTATTATTGACATTGTTAATTTTGTTGTTTACAGTTTTGCATATGAAAATGTAATAAAACAATAGTACATGTGAATGTAATTTCTTTTTTCACTTTTTTTGTTTTACTGTAAAAGCTCTATAAGTTGTACATTAAGTATTTTTAAAAATTAAATATTAAATGTACATTTATTAAATTTTATTTACAGTTTTTCAATATATTTGTATATATTTAATATATTTATATTTTATATATTTTATATTTCAAAACTAATATTTATTTTTATTTAACTCTATAAGTTGTACATTAAGTATTTTTAAAAATTAAATATTAAATGTACATTTATT